AATCGATCATCTTCTTAGTCCTGTATATATTCTGGCGACAAGTCATTTTCAAAAGTGTAACGAGTAATAAATTTATGATGTCAATGTATTTTTTTATTTTTCGAATAAGCTTTCACTAAAAATTAAACAATTGCAGTGAACAAACAACTAAATTATATTTTTAATTATTTTTATGTGGAATCTTTTTAAACGTCAAAGAGTTTTTGTTGCGCAAAGATGCATCTGTGAAGACTGCAATCTTCCAATCACCTACAAAGTTGCTCAATTGTGGGAATCTTATAAAAGACTTGAAGTTTTTCAATCTGTTCACTGCTTTGATCGCCTGAGATAGATCACTCATTGTAGCTTCCTTGAGTTTAGTGCTCATGTCTATAATGTGTTAAATCCAGCAGCCATTCCATTGCTTAAGATCCATCGCAACTTTTTCATTGAACTTGGAAGCCATAGGCATACCCACTACAGGCCTCGATGGAGTTTTTGCATACATCTTGCAAAGTTCACAATTGTTAGTAATGAGATCAAGAGTTTCCTCAAATTCTTCTCTCCAGATACCTGCATCTTTCATAGCGTTTCTTAGGTGGGTGTGCAAATTGCCTGTGCAATTTCACAAAAGTTTTGTATCTCTCATTTTTGCTTAAATCATCAAAGTTTACAGCACAAACACTTTCTACAGGTACCTCTACCGTCTTATATATTGGAATACAGTAATGACCTGATGTTGTCAAATTTAAGGCCACCTCTTTTCCCATAATGCTAGCTGTATCGTTTTCTAGATCCATTTTTATAGCGTGAAAACATCTTTGCCAGCAATCACTGCAGGTATACAGTATTCTCCTTTTGATGTTAGCCATGTCCCACCACCAAACTTGAAAACTCTCTGACTATCTAACTGTGTTACTCTCTGTTTATCTCCTACATCTAATGACTGTATATAGTTATTTATCCAGTTTTTACCACACACTGTACTGCTGCAAGCACTATCAAGAACAGCACAATTTCGAGCATCTACACCCAAACGCTGAATCTCATCCTTATTGTAACCTGTAAACAATACTGCATGTTCCTCTTCAACAGCATTCACTTTCTTCATGTTTTCCCAGCTATGGGGGCATGCCTGTAGCAGATGCCTATATGAACCACAAGACTTGCAGGTAAGCGTTCTTCCATCTGGACCAATAGGATTGATGTTCTTTGCAAGACCTTTTCTGTGACTGTCTTGAGCAATGTCTGAACGCTGAAACTCTTTCATGCCTGATTTTCCAGAATTTCCCCTTTTCCAGTTTCCTCTGCTGCCTCCATTATAATTCCCTTGTTGAATTCTTAATTTGGAGTAACCTGCAGCAAGTAGCGCCTCTTCATTTGCTGCAAGAAAAGCAGGTTCTAGTTTGATACTTGAGCTGCCACTTGACATATTCATGTCATTACCCTTAAACTTTTTCAGTGACTTCTTAGCCTGTTCGTACAATGTAGCTTTTTCATCATAATTCATACCAGTCAAGACTAGCAACCGCTCCTCCTTGGAAATGTTCGCCCTCCGAAGTAGTTTAAAAGCCAAAATTTCAGCAGGCAATGTCATACTTTTCTTTTCAATTTTCCTATACTTGCCATCAAATACAGCTACATATTCATTAATTGATTGCCCCGCAGATCTACTAAAATCTTCAAAATCCTCAAATTTTTCCAAACTGTCTGTTAAATCATCTTTGGCAAGATGCTGGTCCAGAAATCCAATAAGAATTGTCAATCCATCATCACTTTTTACAATGATATGTTTAGAAGACAATATTTTGCATTGTATCCTCGTTGATGCAATATAAATATGTAACAGCTCAGTTATTCTATAAATATTTCAGTTACACAAGTTTTTAGAAAGTTTAATTCTGTCATTGTTTGACGTATAAATCACTTTTATCTGAACCTGTATCAGCAGTTGAAGCCTAATAGCAACAAATCTTAATTACAATCAGACATCATACAGTATTATCTCAATTTGTTTTTGCCCTCATGTGGTTCAATGTTAGATTCACATTTGTATATATACATGTATATAATGATGTGTATACCTGGTACGGTTTGTGTGTGCATACTTTTTTATAAGCATATTTGTAAAGTGATGTGGAAATCTGATCGATTTAGATGAGACTCCAAAAACGCGTGTATCTTATATATTTAAAAAAGAATTAAATTAAATATAAAGATTTCGTGGGTTTTTGTTTTAAACGAAGGTGCGTTCTATTGATGTTCAAAATTCATCTTGTGTTTGCCTATTTTTCGGTTGTGAATATTCTTGGAAATTGGAAGATATTTCTGTTTTGCTGTAACATGATTTGTTTCGAGCTTTGAAATGTCTGATTTCAATCATTGTTTTGTAGTAAAAGTCGTATATATGAGAACGATTATTTATGTAACTAATGACAGCGTGTTCGTTTTAACTGTTAAGTTTAATTTTGTTTCTACTAGATATGATTTATGCACGGATATGAGATTTAAGAAATAATGCAGCAGAATATACCAATCATTGTCAGGCGACCCTGCTATGCTTCCAAGTACCCCTAGCTTTTACTGGAACCCTCACTAGTTAAACTAGAATCCCATTTTTTCCGAAAGAAATTCGGATTTAAGTTTAAAGTTATCTATACGCCTACACAATTTACTTATAGTATACAAAGAAAAAACATATTAAATCTCAAACAATACTATGGTATAAGTTATAGATTGCTCTTGGTAAAATAAAATCAACACAACTAATATAAATGTGATAAACGTATTTATTTGAATCATTTTTTATTGATTAATTATATGTTAATATAACATGTAAAATATGTAAAACTTAACAACAATATATACATGTATCTTAAGGGTAATGAAACGTAAATATGATAATAATGAATGCCCTTTCTATAATTCAATAATTGTAGTTTAATTATTATTGTGTTTAAACTTTTAGCAAATTTACTGAAATCATATTCGCAAATAATTGTTAAAAAATAAAATTAAATTGACTCCTTAAAAGGCTTTAAAATATGCCTTAAATGCGAAAAAAGCCCTATTCTAAAATTAAGGAAAGTACAAACATGAATTTCATATCGTTTTAATGATGGTTTTAGAGCATTTAGATGCTTATCAACTGAAGAATGTAGCGTCGAATATGTAAGAAGTATTTGTTATAAAAGTAGCAAAATGTAAACAGCAAAATGTATACAAAGTCGTATTTTACTTCATACAAAAAACTTAACAAAGCTTTATGAGAACACCTGACCTAAAACGGTTAATAACCAGAATTACCTCAACGTCTTTAAAACTGAGTTCAACTATAACATTTTTTTATTTTATTATTAAATGTTGTTTATAATATTGACTCTCCAAAAAATCAAACATTTTTTCTCAGTAAAACATCGTTTTAAGTTTGTAAAAAAGCAAAACAATTGTACGTGTCAGCGCTTTCGTACAGAATCGACAGCATAGGTTGAACCTTAAAATGTGTGTTCCGAAAGATGTGTTTTTTCTCAAAAGTATTAATAAGCATTTTTGTATCTCTAACGAAAGCATTTTTATAATGTCATGAACAATCTGAAAATTATAGTTGAAACACTAATGGAAAAGATGACATATAACGATTATTCATCAATTAGTGATCACAGTATCGTAATTATTTCAGAGATCGAATGTATTTGGTTTTGTTATGCATGTACATCAAAATCAATGTCCTTAAATGTTTAATTTCTATTCTATTAATGTTTTATATTATCAGGTTAGCTACATAGTGAGATGGAGGGAATTAAGTAATCACATTTTATACCTACCTTTTAGTAATAGATTTAACATTTTGTTTTTAGACATATTTTTAAAAGTCTATGAATTATCCAAGCATTGTGGGATATATGGTTAGTGAAAGTGATTTATTTACAAAAACCACTTTTTTTAAAAAAAATACGTCACTTCAAACATATAAACCAGTATTAAAGTATCTTATATAAATCCTTAAAAAATACATTAATTTTTTTTAAATAGTTTATAATTATGGCAAAATCAAATTATATAATACTTTTTTGTGATTGAATAGCAAAAAGTGAAAAAAGTAGATTTTTAATTTGATTCAAAGAAAATTTTGTTCTTTTGTATATTTTTATCTCCTGAAAAAACATATGACTTCATCCTTAAAAATGCTTCTAAAAACACCAAACATAGTTCTGCTAAGATCAAAATAATTTGAAACTATGCAATGTAGAGTGTAAAAAATGACAATGAAACGAAACAGAAACGGGATAACGTTTTAAAAATGGAGTGTGCGTTTTGTACTAGATAATGAACAAGATAATGAACAAGTAGTTAAAAGAGGGAATAAAGATTTAAACAACAATAATTAATTTACAACCACAACCATAATGATATCATTTTAAGGAAATACCTGCTTTTGGCAGCTTTCCTTCTTGCATACGGAGAGAAAATCATTACCACTTTACGTCTTACTATTATAAATATAAAATTGTTCTTATTGGATTAAAAATGTTGTTTAGATAAAGCATTTTTAAAAACGCATAAGTACAAATGTTTAAAAAATGTATTATGCATAACATTCGACAAAATAACCATATTGTCTTAAATCGTTAACACTAAGCAACTTGTTATTACAGAGGAGAAAAACAGTAATACATATATGTTTTATTATTTTAAAATAAAGCAGTTCGTATTGACTGAGAAAAGACTTCGGTACAAGTGTTTATTAATTGTGTTCATAAAAATAAATGCATACAATTCAACAAAATTGCCATTTTTTCTTACATTGTGTTACACTTAGCAACTTATTCGTTAACACATAACGTAATAAAATGTTTGTTATTACCAATCAACAAAATTCTATTCTGACGACTGTAGATTAAATATCACGTGTTGTTATGAGCCATTGCCACAATTTTTGTCCTATTTTTACCTTGTAAGTAATCTTCTTAACACAGTAACAATTCGATAAAAATCTCTTGCATGCACTAAATAATGCTCTAATAAACGTATGCTATTGCTCATAATGCACACAGATCATTATGAAAACGTGCCTCGAAAGCATAATAACTTTGCATAACGAGCAATTATACAATAGCATAATGTCTGTACCTGAGATTTCTGGAAATGATGAACTCAGTACACACTTATGTTCGACAAAGATGTTATTTTGGTTTTCTCGGTAGATTCTACATTAAACTACATTTTTATATTGTTATATGACAATTAGACGTCAAATCGTCAATACATAAGTTCATGACTGTTTAAATGTATATTTCAGTTGATAGATAGTTCACATACTCGGAGCTATTCCAGTCATAATTTGAAAATACCTATATTTAAAACGTATCAAAAGTGTAAAATATATATACTACAGACTTTATTATAGAGTACTAACAAACAAACATTATTCAAATTAACTGATCGAAATATTTGGTTCAGTTATAATTATGATGCATTCAAAATGCATATTTGTTTAACGTAAAGAAAAATAACTTTTAATCTACTAATATTCAGTAGTTAAATATTTTATGGGAATCAACTTGTATGTCTTATATATAAACAAATAACTATAGCAAAGCTTTCTAGAAGAATAATACTTTAAAGTCATCCTTAACTTAGTTCGATTAAAATGCAGAAAGTTTGTCGCAAAACATTATTGGAAACTATTCAACTTCATGTCAAACACTTTCTTTTATTCCTAATTGTGTTTTAATGTAACTGGACCATTTATCACTTTTCATTTCTATACTGTGTACACATTAAACCAACCATGTCAAAGGTAAGTGAAGTGACAACACAAGTCATATATACCGTGAACACAAACACTTAACATATGTCTTAAAACATATGTGTGTTAAATGGCATATGGTCTGATGTATTGTGTGTGTGAGTGTCCACGCATAATTACATTTCATGTTGTAATAACCTTTGACGTCACTCTATGATGATCTTGAGCAATTGTCACATCAGACGCTGTTGAGCAGACGACAAATATATCACTCTCGTTATTCCAGCGCATATTTCGAGCACATCAGTTTAACAAATTCTGAAATGAAAATGTGAGTGTTCATGTCGGCTAATTTTATTTCTTTCTACTAAATATTAAAATAAATAAATAAAATGTATTATCTGTTATGGAGAATGAAAATATTATTTTAGTACATCAACAGAACTTTCTTACAAACGAAATGCATGTATTGCATTTTGCATTAAACATGTAACCAAAATAATGCCGATTAGTAATATCAGTTGAATGTATATTTAGAAGGTATATGCCAGTCTGCCAATATTGGATGAGAACAAAGTAAAATGACGTCACTAGACAAATACATATAATTAATTTGCTGTCAAACAAAGAACGAAATAGTACAAAAAGTATTATATCAGCAGTGAAGAAGAACATTAGTGAAAATATCCCGAAACGACCATAGTGTTGTTGTATAAACGATTAAACATCTGAATTAATATATTTGATACAGCTGTTATAAATTTACTACAATAATTTGATTAATTTCTCGAAGCGCTTCCCATAAACGAATCATCTTGAATTGAAAATTACCTCAGAACCAGACGTAAATCAATTGTGTTCTTTAATACACTTATTGCATGGACTATTGAGAAGCTTTAGCTAATTTGCAAGTAGATTCTCCTGTCCTAATGTAATAATAGACATCTGGTTTCTGAGATAATTTCCTATAATTGTGAAATGCAACTGCCTGGAACAATTCGGAATAAAATCATCTCTCCTGGCAATATCTCACGACATTTTACCATTTCTTTTTAGTGCATCATTTTTCTTGCTAAAAATAAGGACGTGAAGACTTAGTACAATCGAATAGTATGTTTGATTTATATTCTTGACAAGTACAGTTTTGATTCTTCAGCGATTGATGGTCAACATTGGCGAGCAAAAGCATACATGAGGTTATTATGTGCAAAGTAAGCATTTCGGTCTATTTCAGAATACTTCACATTATTTTACAGTAACTGAAATTTCCACTCGGCTCAGACTTTCAAAGCTTCTGTCTGTACGCTATTAGCCACTGATTTACCGGAATCCACATTGGTCATTGTCATTTTTACATCCTTTTGCCAATATTTACATATTTTTTGTTTGATCAATCGCCTATTTTTTTAGTTCTATTCATTTACAATGGTAAGCGTTCGAGAGAACTAAAGTCGCGAAGACTAATTGCATTCTAACATTGTTTTTAGATTTGTTTCCTAAAAAATAATAGTATGATCAAAATACGTATTTCGAAAAAAGACTTCTATTCTTTATGCAATACCGGTCGAACAAAATTATGTTCTATCTTAAGAATCGTTGTGAAAGCGTATGACAAGATGGCAAATTGAAGACGTAACACGATTTAATTGTTTTCCATTGAAATTCCTCTAGCTACATGACAATAAATTTGAAGTTATAAACATTCAATTATATGCTGTTTGCTATAATTGATAGTATTTAAGTTGAAAAAAAGGTTAACAACAAGCTTATAGCATACTTACTAATGTAATAGGAGTTCATTGCTTAATTTTGCTAATGCTTTTTATCATTAATTTGATTTAATGCATCACCTGTAAAAACATTAATGTTCCAAAGATACTTTTCTTCACATTTTATACATACCAAAAGAAAATACCTACCATTCATGAGTACCAACTCTATTAAAGTGATAAATATATTTCGATATATAACCAGTCTATTGTTTTGTATCTAATAAAAACAATCATTTTAATGATGTTGGACAATACGTTACCTTAGCTTATTTAAAACAACATCCAGCTTGAAATAGTGTTTAACCTCACCTTGGTAATCCATCCGTCCATCATAATCTATATCAACCTCTCTTATCATTTCCTCAACTTCTTCTAATGTAAGCTTTTCTCCAAGATTTATCATACAAATTCGTAACTCCTCCGCATCTATGTAACCGTTTCCGTCACGGTCAAACATTCGGAATGCTTCTTTTAAAGCGTCTTCATGGTCTTCGTCATCAAACTTTCTACTTGCTAATATATTTAGAAAACTTTCAAAATCTAGATTACCCGTTCCTGAAAGGTAAGACATCGTTCTTTTTACATATCGGATTTTTTTAGTCCTAATCATTGTACGTACATTAACTATATAATAAATTTTGCGTCCGAAATTGCCATTTTTTCTTTATATAATATAATTTATTGAATGAAAGGTTGGCTTAAAAAAAAAATAAGTCTGTGTTTATTTCATTTAAAGGACTTAGAATCAGCGATTGGTACGTTTCTATGATGATTGAACACTAATGTCACATATATTACACGACTTTTTTCTATTGTACATGTGATGATGTTGATGAACAGGAATAAGGTAAGAATTTATTTCATCATAAATGCCTAGTATTTAACCTTCAGCAAATGGTATAGTATTGCCCGTTATATAATGCATACCCTCTGAATCGACTTCATCTATCATTTCTTGAACCTCTATCTCTGTAGGATTTAGTCCCATTGCTCTAAGTACCCTCCCTAACTTCTGTATTGAAATGATCCCATCATTATCTTTGTCATAAAGCTTGAACGCCTCTTGGTATTCTAGAGTAATTGAAAAATAAATGCTAATATACGATTGTTTTTAAATGTCACATTTTGCTATATTTTTTTTTTCAATTTTTCATTTGCTTCGAACGAATGGTGAGAAAATTTCTGTATATATCTATTGGTATATTCCAGTAACGTTAAATATATAAAAGCGTGGGGCAGTCGTTTTATTTTTGAGGCAGATTTATATTTATTGTTAATCTTTTCCAATTTTTCAATATCAACGGTTGGTCAATCGCCATTATAACAGTCAATATTTTGATAAATATAGTCAATTGAGCTCAACTTGAAACAAAATAGCATAACGTTACTCTTTATGTTCAAATAACCTTTATCACACTATTCATGTAAAATGGCCGTGTTCATCTTTCCATCTGAACAAAGCAGTTCATGTATAGGACAATGTTAAAAAAATAAGTACTGACAGTTCTAAATGCGATCTGTACATACCAAGATAACTGTATGTGCTGCTATGTGGTTAAAAAAAAACCTTAGAGTAAAGTGTTTTAAATGTAAACATACTAAATATTCATAAAATATTTAAAACCGGCTAAGATTAAACAAAACAGTTAAACATATACTAAATTTGATTTGAATTACCTTTAAGCTTGTCCTCGGTTAACTGGCTTAACTGAAATATAAAAAAGGTAATTAATATAATGATAATTAATTCAAAATTAAATTTCCAATGGACATCGATTGCAAAACTATTAGACTACTTTAAACAAAATAAAATCAAATATAAAAATCTTTTCGATGTCCTATGATGTAAAAGTGTTCACATGCAGGTTTTTATGTGTGCATCTTTGTGATTTTGATTATAAAGCTTCAACAAGCATATACAACGATTATAGCTTGGTTGACTACTGATTTAATTCATGGTTAACAATTTCCATCAGTATATTCTACCGTGTGTGCATGAACTGGAAAATTCATTTATTCCTCTGTAAATTACTCTCTCCTTTTCTTATTGTTTATAGGAATTGTGCATTAGATATTTTTTATAAATGCGTATTTTCGAATAAAAAGTGGTCAATTGGACCACGCCATTTATTTGTTTCTTTGATTGCTCCAATTTGTATGGAGAAAAATATAACTATTTGTATCGATTATGAAAACAGATAATTATTATGATATTATTAGAATTGTAAATATAATTGTTAAAATAAGAAATACATTTGATGTATAATTTTGTTTAATATAATATATAAGATTATTTCGAATTTACCTTTTAAAATAGTTTGCCATAAGCTTAACAATTTAACAATTGATTACAAAATAATGTGATAAATGCTTATTACTTTTAAAATAAAATGCAAACAGTAATTACAAATTATGAATTCTAATTTCAAGCTTCACAACCCTTAAAAATGCGGAATGGGAATTTTACGTTTATGCAGATATAAAGATAATTATGCTTACAGACAATTATAACATTATTATAATTAAACCTGTCTTAAGGCAAAAAAGAAAATAATATATTAATTAAGTTTTGGTATATGTAATTTATAACAAAAACAGGTGCTCCAATTGTTATGACAAACAGTGGAATTGTAAGATGACAAGATAATTATAACAACATTTCATTGCGGCAAAACTGTCATACTAATTTTATCTACGGATATCTGAGTATACAATAGAGCGAAATAAAGAATCCCTAAAGAAAGCCAATCAAGACAAAATTGAAAATGTTGCAGGCTCGGTTTGATTGAGCCTGTTCATGGACGGTACTGTCAAGTGCATGTTACCGTCCACGCCCCTTAGCACCGGCTTAAACAAAATTCAACATTTAATCATGGTAATGGTGAAATTTTGAATTTAGAAACATCCGCAGATGTGTTCATACGGCGGTTATCACGGAACCTTCAATGTGACACTTTCGTGCCATTCAATGAAAAGCGGCGTATGGTCCGCAAGTAAAAAAATGTACCCTAAACGAGAAAACAATGGGCGGAACAAAAAAATTTGGAATACATGAATAAAAAACAAGAGTTCAACAAGTGCATTTAGCAAGTCTACATAATTTATGTTCCATTCAGTTACAGTAATAACGGAAAAGCAGCACACTAAAAAGGAAAATCAACACACACAAAATTGAAAAGCAGGACACAAATATGGAAAAGCAGGACATGGAGTATGGGAAAGCAGGACACAAATATGGAAAAGCAGGACATGGAGTATGGGAAAGCAGGACACAAATATGGGAAAGAAGAGGAAACAAATATGGGAAAGCAGAGGATACAAATATGGAATATCAGGACATAGAATATGGGAAAGCAGGACACAATAATGGGAAAGCAGGATACAAATATGGGAAAGCTGGGCACAAATATGGGAAAGCAGAGGACACAATTATGGAAAAGCAGGACATAGAGTATGGGAAAGCAGGACACACATATGGGAAAGCAGCACACAAATAATGCTCTGAAAATAAAAAGTTGTCAGTACAGCTTTTATTGGAAAGTATGAAATAAGAGTTTTATTGCTATAGTACACAGTAAAAAAAGTAAATGTTTAAATTGCTGTCATTTTGCGCATGTATTCTAAAAAGTACCTGGGTCTTACATGTTATATAAATCTTTGTAAATATTAAAAATATTTGATAAATGCTGAAAATTAGATTACATTATTACAATGATACCTTATGCGTCTAATGATATCTAGTGCGTAAGTACTACACATAAAAACATAAAAATACATTCGTCTCTACATATGATCTAAATTGACTGGCAAAATACCAAGTAGGTTATAAGCGATAAAAACGAATGAATGTCTGCAAAAAAGATATACAATGTTAATATTAATCTAGAGTGCTACAACGTTCCTTTCATTTCAATGACATTAACTGTAGATTCTATATACGAAATGAAGTTGTACATGTATAAGAGCTGAGGAAAAAGTTATTAATCGTATATTTGACTTATATATACAATGTATATATATCAACAATTATCTTTTTTTAAAAATCAAGAAAAAAAAAAAAACAAACAATAAGTATCTTTAAGAAAAAGATGCTCGGCCGAAGTAAAATTGTTAAACTTGCATATGTTAGTTCTTAGTTTACCATGCAAAGTCATGTAGAAATGTTAGCATTGCGTACATAACAATGACATAATTATAAATATCTGAGCAATTTAACTTGAAAGTTAAAGAACTATCCTGTACATTTTATTTTAGAATCATCCCTTACATTTTGTTTCATAATGGCAAGAACTATCCATAACATTTTAGTTTAGAACTATCTTAGAATGACAAGAACTATCCTTTACATTTTATTTTAGAATGGCCAATGAGATTTCCAGATTTCATTGTGTAATTTTAAATGATCAATAAATACTACTCTTATATTCAGTTTTTACCTGTAAATTTTACAGGAAGTCAAACTGAAAACAGACAGGCCTTCGGCCGGAAAAAAACTCAACTTACCCCTAAAAATATTGAATTATTGAAAATAATTGAAACATTGCTTATTATATTTTAGAAATCTTAAGTGATTCTCATAATTATTAAAATGTGACTGTCGACAGATCTGTAAAGTATTTTATTATCCGTCCAGCTTAAATAGTTATTGGTTAAGACTCCACGAGGTATTTTGGCATGGCGGGACTGGATATTTAATAATTCGAGAATAATGTTCAGTTTGAAGTAGGTCAGGTTTTATAACTTGTGTGAAAAGAAAATCAGATTATTCGCATACTCTGTGTTTTTTTTTTCGACGAGCATAATTCTAATTTTAAAAAATTACCCACAATTGAAAAGCGTTATTATAATATTACTTTTCACTCAAAATCGGGCACAGAAATTCGGTTTTCAATTTATTTCTGAGTATATTTCTAAATAATCTTTTATATATCTCTCTATGTTTAAATGTCCCTGTTGATCTGTGGTAGATATTCTAATATAATGTATTTAGGCATTTAAACCTCAATGGAGCGGATCGTTCCTTGAATTATAAAATAAAAATCTTGATAAAATATGATCCTTCGGAAGCATTAATCACAAAAAATACATAAAATTCAGTCTCGGTTTGATTGATTCAGTACATGAGGGATGATGAAAAAGTGCAACATCTGTCACGCCCACCCCCCCCCGCACCGGATTGAACGGTACTCAATTTTCGTACATGAATTGTTATGTAGACTTTTGACCTGAAATGTTCCGTAAATCATTCTAAGTAAAGATATTCAAAAAAATCTTACCATATGTTTCTGTTTTCCTTTAGTAAATACTACATCACCAAAGGTAGCCATAATAATGATATATGATAAATTCAACTTAATATGTTTTACGAATAGCACATTTAAATTACTAGGTATATACACATCAAAATAAAACTGTATCCATGCTTTCTCGATAGCAGTATGATCTCAGTTACTATGGTTCAGACATCATCATTAAGATATATAATAAGCAAATTGTTCCATCTTCAGAGAGGTGATTATTCATCTAAAGAGAATATAACAAAAATATGCTCCAGTATATTAAGCAAAGAAGTAATTATATCATCTGACAAAATTCTATAGACTTCAAAGAGCATTTTCTCTGAGTTTCCCCGTGGATATTGTCTTGCCCTTTGAAATAGACACCTTTGCTGGAGAGAGTGTAAATAGTTAATATTACAGCAAAATAAATTTGTGTGTCTTTAAAAGGAAATGTCCTTTACTTTTCTTGGAGTAAATAACAGTGTAAACAACTTGAATGCTTAACGATCAACTACTAGTATTTAAAAATTAAAGTTCAAATGAGACATCTTCACGAAACATTTCTAAAATTTATTTCAAATAGTCATACATGGAGTAGAAATTTAGCCAAAAGGGAGCAAACGTATGGCATCAACAGTAATGTTATTTTTTTTCTTTTCCGAAACATAAAAAATAGCTAGAAATTTACTAGACACAGTTCAGAAATCTTACTTTTTATTATTATGCACCGCAAATACCATTGATGCTTATATATACCTTCATTATTTCTAGAGACTGATCCAGTTACACGGTATACCAACATTATGTAAACATTAGTTAATAATTTTGATAAGAAAACAAAACATACCTGTGTAAAGGTTTTGCGAACATTTTTATGTTTGTGATATAGATATAATTAGATCAAGATTTGCTTACATATTACATTGAACTGTTTGCGTTCAAGAAATGCAGTATATCTAAATTGTTTATAACATCATATACATGATCATGTGTGTAGTTAACCGTTGAAGAATTTTATTGACATTTAAAAATACCTGTTATGAGTAACCTCATGTAAAATATGACTGGTTAACGCTCAGTTAAAAGTGCTGAATTACGAACTTACATAAAAGCTCGAGCAAAACTATGAAAATCTGCTATAAAAGTTTATAATGATTTCTTTGATATTCATGTCATCAATGAAATATCTTTTGGAACTGCTTTGAGATGGTTGCATAAATACGAAAATGGACAAGAATCAATTAAAGATGCCTGTAATGGCTGATAGAAAACGCTCCCTGGTTACTTATAAAGTCGAGCTTATCATCACTCTCATTTACCTAGGTAACCCATACCATAGGTATATCAAAAGGGCCCATTCATACGATTATGAAGAATCATTTGAAAGTTAGGCTAGATGGATACACAATTTGGTAACATCTGACTAGGA